GTAATCAATGAAAAAAGATTTTCCTCAAATATGATTTATCACTGTACATTTAGGAAATCGCTGTACCAAAAAAAGGTAAGAAACTATTGATGGTTGATATTTGAGATAAAAATTCATTCACTATGAAGCATAGTAGTTTATATAACCTTCTATTAATATATAGTTTTTCTTTGTCTCTCTTTTTTTATTTAAAGTCTGTTTTGTCTGATGTTAGTTACTATTTTCATTGTTCCATCCTTTAACTTTCAATCTATTTGTGTCTTTGGATCTAAAGTGAATCTCTGCATATAGCAGGATCATGTATTTTTTTTCCATTCTGCTTATCTTTTATCTTTTGGTTGGAAAGTTTAGTTTGCATTTAGTAATTTCTGATAAGGAAGGGCTTACTTCTGTCATTTGTTTTTTGTATGTCATATAGTTTTTTGTCCCTCATTTTCGACATTATTGTCTTCTTTTGTGTTTTGTTGATTTTGTGTAATAAAAATTTTAAATTCCTTTCTCATTTCCTTTTGTGTTCATTTGATAGCTACTTATAACTATTTTCTTTGCAGTTACCATGGGGGTTACATTTAACATCCTAAAGTTAGAACATTCTAATTTGAATTTATACCAGTTCAACTTTAATAACATACAGAAACTCTACTCATCTATAAGACAGTCCCCAACCCTTCTGGTTGTTGATATTACAAAATTACATGCTTATATACAGGGTACCCAAAAACATAAACTAATAATTCTTCTAATGCATTAATCTCTTAAATTATGTGGAAAACAAAAAGTGGAGTTACAAACTGTTGTTACAGTAATACTGGCTTTTATAATTGCCCATGTGTTTACCTTTATTGAAATCTTTATTTTTTCATATAGCTTTGAGTTACTGTCTAGTGTCCTTTCATTTCACCTTACGGGACATTCCCTTTAAGCATTTCTTGAAGGACAGATCTAGTGGTAATGAACTCCATCATTTGTTATCTGGAAATGCCTTAATTTCTCTCTCAATTTTGAAGAACAGTTTTGCCAGATATAGGATTCTTGGTTGACTTTTTTTTTTCTTTAGCACTTTAAATAGATCAGTCACTGACCCTGGGCTCCAAAGTTTCTGATAAGAAATCTGATGATAATTTTATTAAGGATCCCTTGTATGTAATGAGCCACATCTCATCTCTGTTGTGGCTTTCAAGATTCACTTTGTCTTTCAACAATTTTATTATAAAGTACTTCAGTGTGGTTCTCTTTGACTGAATCTTATCTGGAGGTCACTGAGTTTCTTGGCTGTGTATATATAGTGGTCCCCACCATCCATGGTTTCCTTTACCTGCAGTCACTTACCTGTGGTACACAACAGCTTCAACAGAATTGCTTGAGCCCAGGAGTTCGAGACCAGCCTAGGCAACATAGCAAGACCTCATCTCTATCATTTATAAGAAATAAAAAAGAAAAAAAATTGTAACGATATTAATACTATTCAAAGCAAACTACAGATTTAAGGCAATCTCTATCAAAATCTTAATAGTTTTTTTTTAGAAATAGGAAAATCCATCCTAAAAATCATATAGAATCTCCTGGGACACTCACTAGCAAAACAATCTTGAAAAAGAACAGAGATGCAGGCATCATACTTCCTGACTTCAAAACTTACTACAAAGTTAGAGAAATCACAACGTTGTGGTACTGGCATAAAGAAAGACATTCAAGCAAGGAGAACCAAAAAAACTTGGAATAGGCCAGACTTGGTGGCTCAGCCTGTAATCCCAGCACTTTGGGAGGCCAAGGCAAGTGGATTGCCTGAACCCGTGGGTTCGAGACCAGCCTGGGCAACTTGGTGAGACTTTGTCTCTACAATAAAATTAAAAAATTAGTTGAGTGTAGTAGTGCATGCCTATGGTTCTGGCTACTTGAAGGACTGAGGTGGAAGGATCACTAGAACCCAGCAGGTCGACGCTGGGGTGGCCATGAGTTTGCCACTGCACTCCAGCCTGGGCGACAGAGAGAGACTTCAACTCAAAACAAAACAAAACAAAACAAAAAAACCCCTGGAATGTATTTATAAAAAGTTGTGTATTTATTCTTACATGTTTAAACTTCAGTCACCTTCAAAATTCTCTTCGTTTGGTGCAATGTGCCTATGAAGCCACGTTTTCCACTGCTCAGAACAGTTTTTGAACTCAAAAACTGTTTTAGTACTTCTGCCATTTTTTTTGTTTCACCTTTTCCATATCAGCAGACATTTCCCTTTGAGGATATTTTTCATCTAGAGAAACAACAACAACAAAAAGTCATGTGGGGCAAGATTGGGTGAATAGGGAGGGTAGAGCATAGCAATCATGCTGTTTTTTGGTAAAAATTGCTGAACACTTCGTACAGTATGGGCAGGTGCATTGTCATAGTGGAAGATCCAGTCACCTGTTTGTCACAACTTGGGGTGTTTCTTCCACAAATCATGATGCAGCTTTCTCAAAACTTCCAGGAAGAAATCTTTGATTGACCATTTGAGGTGGAGGAACAAATTTGAGTGTATTATGAGGGTCCCACCCTCCAAAAGATAATTCTGGTTTTTTGGGGGTCCCCCTTCATATAGTTCAATGGGATAGAAGAGACCCCAGTAATAAAGACTTGCCTATATGGTCAAAGGATTTTTGACATGGGTATCAAGACTAGTCAATGGGGAAAGGGCAGTCTTTCTAATATATGGTGCTGAGGAAACTGGATATTCACAGGTGAAAAAGTAAAGTTGGACCCTTATCTAATACAGTATACAAAAGTTAACTCAAAGTGAATGAAAGACCTAAATGTGTGACCTAAAACTATAAAACTCTTAGAAGGAAACATAGTCAAAAGTGTCACAGCATTTGATTTGACAGTGATTTCTCGGACATGACACCAAAGGCACAGTCAACAAAAGAAAAAACAGACAAATTTAATTTCATGAACATTAACAATATTTGTGCACTAAAAGACATTATCAACAGAATAAAAGGGCAATCCACAGGATGGGAGAAAATATTTGCACATCATATTTCTGATAAAGGATCCATATCAGAACATATAGAGAACTCCTAAAACTCAACAAACAACAAAAAACCAAGTCACCCTATTTAAAAATGGGCAAAGGAATTAGATAGGCAGTTCTCCAAAGAAGATATGCAAATGGCCAATAAGCACACGAAAAGATGCTCAATATCACTGATTGTTAGAGAAATGCAAATCAAAACTACAGTGGGATACCATCTCACACCCATTACAATGGCTGCTATTTTTTTAAAAAGTGTTGGTTAGAATGTGAAGATGGAATCCTTGTGCATTGTTGGTGGGAGTTTAAGATGGCACAGCTGCTATGCAAACAATAAAATCGTTCCTCAATAAATTAAAAATGGAATTACCATATGATTCAGCAATTTCACTTCTAGGTATATACCCTAAATAATGACAAACAGAGCCTTGAAGAAATATTTGTATAGCCCCATGATGATAGCCAAAACATGAAAGCAGCCCTAGTATTTATTCAAAGATGAATGGATGAGCAAAATGTGGTATATACATACAGCATATATATAAATTATATATAAATATGTATATTTTAATATATTATTCAGTCTTAAAAAGGAAGGAAATTCTAATGTATGCTACAATATGAATGAACCACGAAGACATCGTGCTAAGTGAAACAAGCCATTCACAAAAAGACACATACTATATGGTTCCACTTATAAGAATTATTTAGAGTAGTTAAAATCATAGGGACAGAATGTAGACTTGTGGTTGTCAGGGGCTAGAGCAAGCAGGAAATGAGACATTATCGTTTGATAGGTAAAGGGTTTTAGTTTTATAAGATGAAAAAAAGTTGTGGAGATGGGTGGTGGTGATGGTTGTACAATATTATGAATGTATTTTATTTTTTTCATCTTCATTTCAGATTTGGGGGTACACATTGTATAGTGGTGGGAACTGGGTCTCAGGTGGACATTGTATTCCATAGGTAATTTCTGGGCTCTAACCCTCCCCCAGTTCCCCCCTTATTGGTGTTCCCAGTGTCTCTTATTTCCATCTTTGTGAGCATTTAGCTCCCACATGAGTGAGAATATGCAGTGTTGGGTTTTCTGTTTCTGAGTTGCTTCACTTAGGATGGTGAGCTCCAGCTCCATCCATATTGCTGTAAAGGACATATACCATGGAATACTATGCAGCCATAAAAAAGAATGAATGTGTTTAATACCACTGCACTATACACTTAAAAATGATTAAGATGGTACACTTTGTGTTATGTGGTCTTGAAGTTAGATAGTGTCGTGCTCTGATTTTGTTTCTTTCCTTCAATATGGAGTTGGCTATTCTGGGTCTTTTGCCTCTCTATTCTTCATGTGGTTTAAAATTTTTGTTTGTGAATTTATCTTTCCATGGGAGTTGTGAAGGTATCCTTTCTGTTCCTGACAGAGCCCCTCAAATTTCAGGGGTCCTGAACTGTTTTCTGTCGCTTGGTTTCAGTTTCTTGTGGGTGATTTTTTTTTTTAAACTCTCAACCTCACACTAATGGGTAGTATTATTTTTGGTCCTTCTTTTCACAAATAATTCAGGGCTCTTTTAGGTTTTAGGATTTATGCAGAAGACTCAATTCAGTTTCCATGTCCCTCCCAACTTTAAAGAAGATCAACACCTTACCTTCTGTCCTAGAGTGGGCATTAGAGCCTCAGATCTTTTCTAGAGTTTGAATTTGGGTCTAAAAATCAATGGAGCATTTAGTGTGAACTCACTCCCCCTTTTTAGACCTAAGAGAAAACTCTTCCAAATTTGGAGATACAAGGTCTTCCTGTCCTTAAAGGGAATGTGTGGGTGTGGGTAGGGTAGGCAGCTGAGTAGTAGAAGTACACATCTGTTTTATGCTGACAGTAACTGTCGCCTAACTGCCAAACAAATATATGTTGATAACGATCAAATACTCTAAGACATTTGGCCATGTGTTCCTTTGCAAATACAGTTCTTAGTTAAGCACTGTTCCTTTCCAGATGTTCGTTCCAGATGGGAGTATGATGAAAGTCATGTGATAACAGCCCGTCGAGTGAAGAAGGTATCCTGGAGTCAGAATCTGGGTCAGGCTAGCTACCTTCAGGAAGGTGGGAAATAATGGGAGATGTTATCCTCAACCCAGGAGGTGGCACCTACTGTGGGACCCTGTGGGCGGCAGAGGCAGGACTATTTCCTATGCATCCACCATGGTGGTCTCCCACACCTCTCACCCATCCCCTCAGCTGTCCCAATCCCCGTCATGGTCAGTAGCTCCATTCACCAGATATTGATTTAATTCCTTGATGTGCCAGGCACTCTTCCAGACCTGGGTGCAACACAGAATTCAATATGCCCTGAGTTTATTGCTCCTGCTCTCATGGAGCTGCTTTTCTGCTCAGTGAACAGACAATAAACCACAGAGATACTTACTGTAACCCAAAGATGGAAGCCCCTCTTCCCTTCCCTTCGTTTTCCTTCCTGTCCTCCTTTCCCCATCCCAACAAGTAGATGGAGTCCTGCACTCAGTCACCATGTCACCCCCCTGCAGTGAGGCCCTTTCCTCCACCCCTTCACTCAGGATCTATTTCTACCCCCTGAAGTCCTGACCACATTCTTTGCCCTTGACTTGAAGGTTCTTTGTTACGTCCCCAGTTTCTTCTGTGTCTCTTTGATTCAGCTTTGTTTTCTCCTTCTGCTCTCTGAAGACATTGCTCGTCCATCCTTGGCCTTCCTCATCTGTTGGGATACTTTCTTGCCAAGATTTCAGCCACGCTTACAGCTACAACTACTTATCTACATGTGATTAGTGGTCCTGTCAAGTGTATTCCTAAAATTTTGTCTTGCAGAATTCCCCCCTCCTCCCCATCCCCACTGCCTCTGTGCTGTTATGCACTCTGTCTCTGGCCCTTTTCCTACTCAACTTGGTCTTGGCTCAAGTATTTTCCCAGGATACACTTGCTACCTAATGCCCCCCATTTCTCTGTTCCAGTCCATCATTATCTGCTTTTTTTCCCCCCACTCTGGGTTTTCAGCTCTTGGCTCCATGTTCTAGCTCTTACTCCCCATTCCAAGCCTTTCTCTGCTTTTTGCAGCCTATTCAGAGCCCCTCATGACATGTGGGCTCCGGTTCCTTCTAAACTCTCCGATCTGTGTACTTCACTGATTCTGGCTGCACTCCCTGTTCCAGGAAAGGGACACTCTCTCTACCTCAGTCTCTCAGAACCTCTCATTCAGGCTGATACTTCTTCCCTGCCCTCTCTAACTTCCCGGTTAGCAGATTGAGCCCAGCCCTGTGGGACAGAAAGCCTCCCAACTTTCTGTCTTCTTGGCTCAGACTCCACCCCTCACGGCAGCCTCATCTCCTGTATACTCCAACTCTTGCCTGATGCCTCAACAGTTTTGCTACCATGTTTCCTTGGTTTTATGATGCACATGCTTCCCCATACTTTAACATTCTTTGAAACTGAAACACATCCTACTATTTCTTTTTCTTTTTTTTTTTTTGAGTTGGAGTCTCACTCTGTCGCCCAGACTGGAGTACAGTGGCCACTCCCGGCCGCCGCAGCCTTGACCTGCTGGGCTCCGGCGATCCTTCCGCCTCAGCCTTCCAAGTGGCTGGAACTATAAGGCGCGTACTACCACACCCGGCTAATTTTTTGACTTATTGTAGAGATGAGGTCTCACCAAGTTGCCCAGGCAGGCACAATTTCTTGATACTTTTAATGTGCTAGTATCTTTCTCCCCAAAAGTGGGCGTGAAAGACATCTATAGTTTTTCTGCCCAGCACCCCCTCTATTTGAGGGAAGCTCCTCTTTCTCTGCTCAGACCACAGGGTTCTCTAAAGTCATATCTGGAATGCTGGCCACAGTGATTGGCCACAGGTCTGGGACAAAAACTGGACCATGCAGAATTGGATTTAGGAGAGGGATGCCTGTTTCCAACCTGGTGGTGGAAGTTGGAAGATGGGAGTCTGAGCATTGCTGGAGGCCATGACTCAAGCCTCAGGAGAAAGTTGTCTGAGAAGGGAAGGTCAGCACATGGGGAAAAGCAGAGGAGAGGCGCCCGAGGGCGGTCTGGGCTTTCCTGGAAACAGGTGCACCTCTGTCTTGCCTAGAGTATTGTCATATGGGAATGAGTTCCACCTTTTGTGCACACTTCTGATCAAACTGGTGGCACATCTTACAATCCATGATGTCTTGAAATCTGGGGAATACAGTGCCTGTGGCTCCCCACACACACTGCTCTTCCGGGCATCTGGGCCTTTGCTCTGGGCACAAGGATGTGTTGCTTTGCTCATCGTTGTATCTCAGATGCTCCTCTGGTCCCTGGTGTCTGGCAGGTGCTCAGTGCGTATTTCTTGGCTCAAACAAGTGACCAAAGCTGCTCCTTCTGCCTGGAACTCTTCCCCAGCCCTTGTCCAGCTGATACATTTCCTCGCCATCCTGTCTCCATTGCCTCCTGCTCTGTGTAGCCTTTCTGAGCTCCGCAGGCTGACTCAGGCATGTCTCTCTTTTTCTGGCTCTCTGTATCCCAGAGCCTAGCACACCGTAGGTGCAAAGTCAGTGCCAGTGGATGTTGATTGAATAAACAGATGGATGTTCCACTTGATCTCTTCCTGCTCTTCTGGTCTCTGTGATTGTTCGCATCTCCATACCTTGCCCTGGCTCTTCTCCATACCTAGAGCCCCGCCCTCCTCAGCTCCTCTCCAACCCTGTTCGTCCTCTGAGGGCCATCTGGTTAGTGTCTTCCTGAACTCTCTCCTAATTCTTCTACACAATTAGCATTTCTCTCCTTTGAGTCCCAGACGGCCTCTCGGCCTGTGCTCCTGGGGTCCTTAACTTATCGCCTTGAAGTCAAGCTGCACCTGCAAGTCCTCTGTTGGGGCCCCCATGCAGTTAGAGCAGGCTGCCGAGACGGAGTAAGGCTCAGGCGCCCCTGAGTTGTGGGTTATGCAGGGCTTCGTGAACCTACCTTTAGGGTACCGTGGAATCACATTGCCTCCCTAGCGATCTCAGGGCCTTGGCAGTCGGCAGCTATTATCCTGCCCTCCTGATCCACCATCATGGTGACTTGGCCACTCCCTGCTTTACTGTCCACTAACTCCCTTCCACTTTGTGGCTTCTGTTGGCCCATTTATTCATTTAACTGTATTTATGGCCTGCTGTGTGTGAGACACTTTCAGAAGCTCAGCTATGTCAGTGACTAAAAAAGGACAAAAACCCTGACTCTTACAGCACTTAAGTTGGCTCTTATAGTCCACCTCATTCCCTCTGCTTGCTCATGACTTTTGCTTCTCCAAGCTTTGTGCTTCCTGCCCTCTTTATAGGTGTTTTGGATTTGCCAAACACCCCCCCCCCCCCCGCCCCGGTGTGAAATGATGTCACTAATTCAGTTGGCTACAGTTACTCTGAGCTGCCAGCCAGTCGGCAGACCACTTGTTTTTTGGCCAGGCACTTATCCTGCAGCGGTGGTTAGCTTTTCTCAAAAGGGATGTAGGTGTGGAAGGTTCTTGGGATTTAATAGGCTTTCTGTCTATTCTCTTAATGCTTCCGTGTGTGTGTAGTCAGGGGAAAGAATGCAGTCCTAGCTCCTCCCATGCTTTCATGCAAGGAGTATTCACTCAATGGAACCTACCCACCAACTGGCCTCTCTTGTGGTTTCCTTAGAAGGGGAATGGATATCTTATCCCGGACTCTGTGGATCTGGAGTGTGTGAAGTACTTTGTGGTGTATGATAACAACACCAGCTTCCTGGAGGCATTCTTAAAAGACAATGATGATGATACAGAACCTGATTCTGGCAGAGGTAAGATGTTTTTATTTTTTTAAAACAGCAGCAAGAATAATCGTGAATAGTTATTGAATGCTTTCAGCACATGCCAGGAACCATGAGGCCAAGTGCTTCACCTGGGTCGGTCCACGCAGACTACAGAACAACTTTATGAGGTTAGTAATGTCAAGGGCTGTGAGGGGTCTGAGATGTTACTTCCCTTGCAAGAGAGCAAGTGAGTCTGCCAGTTTCATGGATACTGACAGAGAAAGAAGACTCCTAGGTCAGAGACAAAGGACTTCATCATTCAGAGTAATGGAAGTAGCTAGAATATAATTTTCCTGAACTGGTTCTCCAAGCCCCAATTCTCACAGGGCGACATGAAGAGCGCAAGGTTATACCTATACATACAGTGGGTTGCATTATAGCAGAAGAACTGAGCTTAGGGGGCCCCTGAGCTTAGGGGGCCTGGGTCTTTTTATAATGGGCAGGAAGGAGAGAAAAACTCTCTCTCTGTCTTCTAAGACAGTTAAATAAATATCTTGAAAAGATAGGCTGGAACAAAGGTGGCTGGTGCTTTTGTTCATAGGGCATGCAAAAATGTGAGAGACTGTGGAGAATTGTCTCCTAACAGGTAACATTGCCCCCATTTTGAGGTGGGCAAACTGGGTCCTCGGAAGGTGAAGTAAACCCCCAACCTGGTGAATGACTTATCCGTTCCTGTGTAACACATTATCCCAAAACTCAGCAACTGAAAACAAGCATTAATGATCTCAGTTTCTGTGGGTCCAGAATTCAGGAACAGCTTAGCTGGGAGGTTCAGGCACAGGGTTTCTCCTGAGGTTACAGGTAAAATGTCAGTTGGGACTGCTGTCATCTGAAGTTAGGCCAAGATGACCAGCATCCAAGATGACTTACGCACATGGCCGTGGCCAGGAGGCTTCAGTTTCATTCTGGCTATTGGCAGGCGGCCTCAATTCCTCCCCATCTGAACCTTTCCATAGGATGACTTGAACGGTCTCACACGTGGCAGCTGGTTTCCCCCAGAGTGAGTGATCTGAGAGAGGGGGAATGAGGGCTTTTTATGACCCAGTCTCAGACTTACACACAGTTACCTGTGTTATAGGTAACTTACACACAGTTACATTAGAAGTAGGTCACCAAGTCCAATCCCTCCTCATGGGGAGGGCAATTAGCCTTGATCTTTTAAAGGGAGGCCTTTGAAAGAATCTGTGGACATATGTATAAACCACCACCCATAAGTGATGGAGCCAGGATTCAAACCCAGGCCATCTGGTCTGTCCTCTTGAGGCTCGGGTAGTAATGCTGGAGAGCCTTGCAGCTGCTCCAGTCCCAAGTCGGAGTATTAAGGTGTGTTCGGTACCTATGTGTTCCTCTGAACCTCTGAGACTCTGTTGTGTTTTCTGTGCAGCGCCTAGCTTTGGGCTGACCACTCCTTGCCATTGGCTGGCGGGGGGGGGGGGGCTCTGCCTTCCTGATCTGGTAGCTAATTAAGATCTGTGGGTGCAGATCCAGAGACTAGGCATTCATACCAACTGCCACTGGGTGGTGCTAAGCTTCCACCTTTAATGAGATCGGCTTTCTTGATGTTCTTCCCAGGAAATTGATGACCTGGAAATTATTCCTTCTACAGGGCTTTGATCTGCAATCCTAGGTTTGTAGGCTGAACCCTGAAACCCATTGAGATGATGCTCAATGAAGATAATCCCCTTTTCATTCTATAACTGACCATGCTATGCTGTGGGCCCCGTTCTCACCCAGGAAGCCACAGCCACACTGACAATTTGTCTACTCATGACAACTGTTCTTGTTTAAAATGGCATCTTTCAGGCAAATGCAGTCTTTGGGGTAAAAAAAACGTCTCAAGCTTCCTCTCACCACCCCATCTCCTTTCTGTTGTTAAGCTCTGGGCTCCTTGGTCCCCAGGAAATGTGGGCATGGGGGGGCCTTCACATTCTAGAAGCAGGTACCAGGTATCCTCTCCTGCTGGCCTTCAGGCGAGGTGTAGCTCAGCCTGTGTGACCTTTGGCCGTGAGCCTCTGTCCTTGCTGTGTCTGCTGCCACGATGTTCACGGCTGGTGGCGGTCGTGAGGGTTCTGTGCCCCTGGCAGCGCACGCAGTTGCTCAGGGGATGCAGCTCTACCCTCCTGTCCAGGCTCCCCACCTGGGCCTCGACAGGTGCTCCAATCCCCAGGCCCTGCCGAATCTCCCTTCAGTATCCAGTGTTAAGCTGACCACCCACCCCTCTGCTGCGGGGCCTCAGAATGCCTACTGGGAAACAGAGCATTGCTGTTTTCAGTCCCCGCCCCCAACACTCCCCCTGCCCCTTCTTCCCATCCTTTCCCCCTCTCCCCCCGACCCCCAGGCTGTGTGTTTCTCCCTCTTCAGCCAGGCCTTTTCTTAAGAACCCAAGATGTGTCTTCCCTAGTCTTGTCCTCTGGGACGTTCTTTGACCTCGAACAGCACTCAGAGGGAATCCTCCTTTTATGAGAGAGATTTTTCCTATGTTAAATCATCCATCCATGCAACAAAATAGATTATAGACCCTCAAGCCAGGTTCTTGACGTGTAAAGGGAAGCTTTGTGGAATCTGGGGATTCCTTTTCCTCTCTCTTAGCAAAGTTTGACTTTAATGACAATTGGCTGGCCAAGGACCTGTAATAATTTAACTTAAATCACCCCCTCTAAGCAAGGACCCTCTTCCTCTGGGTGGTCCCCCCCACCCCCATCAGAGTGTTGGAAACCTTTTGACAATGGAGAACTCGGGATTAATGGGACTGAAAACGAGTGAATCGAATGTTTCAAAAGTATTCACTCCATTACATCCTTCCATTGGAAAACCTCTACCTCCTCGTAACAAATAATCACTACTGTAGAGGTGCGTTCCCTTCTAAGAAAGCAGAGCCTGGCCTCACCTGGGTCTGTTTGACAGGGTAGCCTGGGCTCCACCAGAGTCTGGGATTGTCCCTGGAAGCTGGCCTTCCTTCAGCACTAACCCCACATCCCTGACTGTGATGGAGCCTCCAGTGGGTCTTGCGACAGTGGTGGGAAAGCAACTGTCTGGCCTGAAAGCAGTAGCAGTGCGGCCTGGGACTCCTTCTCCAAGTCCCCTGGGCCCTCTAACCTATCACTTTCTTGCTCAAGAGGAATATGGCGAGACCCGTTGACTGGACCCTTTGACTTCTGAGCCAGGCCCTCCGGGATGGGCATTGGCTCCTGTTTCAACTGCTGCAGGTTTTCTCCCTGGCTACAGACTCCAGACTCTGCCTCCAACTACAGTCTCTCAGGCAGCTCCCAGGCACTTCTGTCCTGAGCAGCCCCTGCTGAAGTTGTCCTCGTCCTAAACAAAAGTTCTCTCTGGAAGTCAGAGTTCATGCCCCTCCCATTCTCCTGCTGGCTGGCTCTCCCAAGTCTGCAGCACAAGATTTCTCTTTCTGGTTCAGAACCTAGCCTCAAGATCTCTTGGCTTAGCCTTAATCATGCACATTTCCTGTCACATATATCTAATTTGCTTACAGTGTAATCGTGGTTGTACAGATCAATGAAGGCATTTAAGATTAAATTGAGCCTGGCTCGGTGGCTCAGGCTGTAATCCCGTGCCTTGGGAGGCTGAGGTGAGTGGATTGCCTGAACCTGTGGGTTCGAGACCCACCTGGGCAACTTGACGAGACCTCATCTCTACAATAAATCAAAAATTAGCCAGGTGTGGTAGCTCATGCCTGTAGTTCCAG